TTTTGTGCTAATTGGGGAATGTGATTTATGACAGCTCTTGTGGGGTGGGAATTGCAATTTGTTACTTTGTTTCTGGGAGGAAGGAATCTCATTCTTGGGTTCAAGTATGTAAGTGCAGATACTTTGTTTCCTAAATAAAATGTTCTTTAAGGAAGAATTCTTGCCTTGAAGTTCCTTTTACTGGTTTCATCTATCAGAACCATGACACCAGCCCCCAAGACAGCTGTTCCTTCTAACTAAATTGCAGGCACTGATGTTTTTGTGATTGGCTCATAAATTGACCGGCTTAAGAGTCAAGGAATTTCAATCAAGCATAAAGCTACAATATAGACTGTGTGGAGATACTGTTTGCAAGAGCCTCATTTCTTAAACACATTGAGATGTAATTAATTGACAGCTAAAAAGAAATTTTCTGAGTAGCAGGATGAAAAAAATCAACTTTGTGAGCCATCATTCTTAATGAAATACAAAGGGGGAGGGAGTTTTAAAGATTTATAAAAGGAGGAAGATTGGCACCAGCCTTGGAGAAAGGAGCTGAACTAGCACAATACTACTCCACCCAGCCCTGCAGCTGGCCCAAAAGGATACCATGCTTAATGATATTGAAAGCCATCAAGGAGAGCAATGGATGTACTACCTAATCCCACTCTCTCCAGACTACAATGACTACAAGTTGTTCACAATTCCAGCTAATTTTAAATTATTTTTGCAAGAATGTATTCATGAGATCAATGTGGTTTTTTTTATCTAAAAGGCAATTCAAGGATAATCTTAGACATGTATTGAGCATTTTGGAATATTTGGAACAATTAATGAAAAACTGCATATTTTATTATATTTTATTGTTTTTATTAAATGTAAGTTGATCACAGCTTTTGATGAGGTAATATACAAACAAATATGATCAATAATAGCAAATAAATCATAGCAAACAAACAAAACTTATAGCAAACTAATATTTCATCTCAACTGCTTTATGTTCTACTTTTAACCAGAACAGATCATGGAAGTATTAAAGCACAGATAACCTCTGCCATAGGAAGTGAACAATAAATGTATTGTACAGATATTTAATGTCCCAGTTAACTGTGATGCAGCAATTAAATTTTTAAAAAAGGCAAATGCTAGATTTCTTTACATGACTCCATTACTGTAATGAATCCTTTTAAAAACAGACATTCATCCATAAATATTTAAACTATGTACTTTCAGACACAGGACAGAGGCAACAGCCTCAGTAAACTTTGAATAAATGTTGCTTCATCTATAATCTTAACTAAAGCTTGAAAGCTTTAAACTTTTGTCTGACTAGGAAAGCTTTTGAACCTTCATTATATCATTATTTTATACTAGATTCTATTACATTTAAATATTGGACCTGCACTCAGTATTTTTTGTGAATTGTTACTAGAATTTACAAAGTAAACATTCTTGTTCATGTATTCCTCTTTTCCATATGAACTTTGGGTGAACCTTTTGTACAAATTATATCCTAATTGCAAGTTACTGTTCAATCATGCAGTTTCCAGCCATGTCATGTCATGCTGTCAACTTAGGGAAAAATTTTGGCTACTTGGATTCAGTACACTAATCCAAAAGAATATTTACAGGGCATGACATCTGACTTTTTTCATTTATTTATATCAGGTGCTTAGCAGTGGGAAGTCTGGGATGCTTTCCATAACCATTCAAATTACATTACATTCATTGACATTATTCATATGGGTGATGTACAGGGATTTTTTACAAGCTACAACAGCCTGATGACATTCCAGAAATATCATAAATATTCATCACTAGGCTTTACTAGACAAGACTGCACCCCATGTTGCTTACACACAGACTAATTGGCATAAAAATACTGTAGTTGCTTCAGTTTGAGAAAGGGCAATTCATAGATGGCTATCCAGATGCAGTTGCAATATACATTAGGCATGATAGCTATGAATTACCTCAAACTATGGTAGAACAAGACAGAGACGTGATGACATCCATATCCTACATGTGGACATTGGACTAGCCCAGGAACCAATAGAAAATTGAACCAAACAGATGATCCAGCAAGGAGATTCTAAAATATTGCTCTGCATAAACATAGATTTGAAGAGAATATTTATCTTCCAAAGCTATTGTAGAAATATTTTATAAAATACACTAATAGTTTTACAGATTAAGTATTCCAAGTACAGAATCATGATGCAAATAATTAGTAATATCTAAGCATTTGCATTGTATAGATTACTCTATACAATTTTTGACTGCTCTTTTTAATGATAATCGTGCTAAATAATAAACGACCTATTAAAGATTTTGTAACACTATAGGGTGGCCTATCATGCATTAAAATACATTCAGATTTTGATTCATAATTCACCTCCTATAATCATGTAAATATCTCAAGCTTAACAGGAATGTAATGTAGTTAGATTTTTATTACACATATATGAAAGGCATTTATTGCAGCAATGAAGATAGTCTTAGGTATCTTGCTGTCAATTATTCTTCTAGTAAGAGACTAATTTCTTTGTCAGAGAATGAAGTGACTCAGTAAGAAGTAGTTAAGAGTTTGGACTATGACTGAAGAGATACAGATTTAAGTCCCTACTGAACCTTGGACTCAGTGGTTGACTCTGTATGCGATAACAAATTGGTTCACGCATAACATAAAGCCAACATATATGGAATTAAGTTGTGTTCGCACAGTAACCAAAACAAAAGTAAACACCGTATTGTTGCTTAGAAATATGTGTCCCTCAAATCCTACTTAGCAGCCTAACCTACACTGCAACTTTTTTGTGTAAGACAAATGAGGGGAAACTGCATGTGGGATATCTACTGCTCTAAGAAAAGGTAGGATAAAAGCAATTTCTAAACCACATATATAGGTAGCTGATTATACAGGTGGATTCTGTCCATGATGCTTTCTGCACTATATTTTTAACCAAGTATGTTTTTGCACATAATCTTAACCTAAATGACATATATAAGAAATGATTCCACAACAAGATACCTTGTTAAGGTTTGTTTTTTGAAGTAGTTCACACTGCTATATTCACACCACATACTAGCTCAGTGGTGGCGAATCTATGGCACATGTGCCAGAGGCGGCACTCAAAGCCCTCTCTGTGGGCACATGCACCATTGCCCCAGCCCTGCCTCCTCCCACGGACCCCTCGCTTCCAGACATGGCCCACGTGAAGCAGCACAGCCAAGGACATGGTAGCCAGGCAGCAGGGACAAGACTCTGCCCTTGTGCCCCGTCGCACGCAGATGATGCTGCGGGACAGGGGCAGAGGGCATGGCTGCCATGGCGCTGCTGGGCTGCCTGGATGATCTGTGATGGGCCGTGGAGGTGGTGGGTGGCCCAGTGGGCACGGCAGAGCAGGGATAGGGTGGGGGGCAGTTTTTGGGCACTCGGTCTCTAAAAGGTTCGCCATCACTGTACTAGCTGATGGCTTAATGAATTAACCCCACTATTTGAATTCATAGCACAAAGTGCTCTACAAGATAGCCAACTATAATTTTATCTACTCTGATGAGTGAATCTAGCCACTGACAGGTTTCTACATACTATATTATGATTTATCAAAGGTTTACTGAAAACCATTGGCTGGGTTTGCATGCAAGTTATACTATAAATTAACAATGTCTGACTCCATATTGTAACCCAAAAAAAGCATATGCCAGCTTGTGTGACTGTGCATACTAATGATTCTGCTCTGCTTAGAACTGACTTCCTTTCCAAATACCTGCTGTGTTAGATCCTTTGCAGTAGATTAAAAAACAAAAACAAAAGCAACAGTAAATACAGACCTCACTGCAGCATTTTGAATACAAAAACTTTTCATTGTTCCAAGTTGGGAAAAGGTCATGGTGGAACCAGTAATAACTATAAATAGATCTTGATCAAGGGACGTGTTATCAAAAATATAAGCCACCTAAAATTCCCAACACAATATTTTGTTTATCCTCATTAGATTATCTGATTTCATTTTATTTTGTAATAAGCAAGTAATAAGTAATTATGTGTAATAATAAATTTTATAAGTAATAATTCTTATTTAATAATTACTTCAATGTATCCACTAACAGTACAAAACCATGCTGTCTGAAATTTCTCTAATTTAGAATCATTTCTCCTAAAGAGGAAATAAATGCAGAGTCATTCTTTTCTAACCTTGCATCCTAAATTGAATCATGGACCTTACACCTCTCTTCAACCTATTCTGCTTGAATCAAAGTTACAGGAACACAAAAGATCTGACATTCCAGAAGCTGAAAACCCATGCGCCAAGATTCAAAATATAAAATTGATAATCTCAAAAGGATGTTTAAACATTGTTTCACAACTTGTGGGTAATTTACAGCATTGAGCATAAGCAGTTAGATTGGCATAGATAATTGGTCAGTGTGTTGTGCAAATCCAAGCAATGGGGTATTTCAGTAAACAATCCGGGATTCGCACGCTGTGCAAATATAGCCAACGAAAGATGAGCCCAGCTACTAGCAAAAAAGCTTTGGCAGAGAGCAATTTCTTCCTGCTCATTCACCTTTTTACGCGGCAGAAAATTAGGTGCGATGAAACCACAGCGTGCATTAAGATTACTAAATAGTCTTATATTGGTTAATCTAGTTCGGGGCGCAGTAGCACTATCCCGGTCGATCTTTTCCACCCTAAAGAACAACCCTGGCAGAAGCGGATAACGGATCTTAAATCGTGGATATCTTTTCATTAGGAAAAGCCGGAATCAGAGAGAAAGGAGCGGTAGCGGGCCCACTTCCACAAAGCCACGCCCTCTATTCACTCGTATCATTCTCGCTCTTTCGGAGCCAAGCGACATAGCGGTCTGAGCCCGGCCGAGGAAGGGAGGGTGGGCTATGGCTGTTAGCCACGCCCTTTCCCCGGCCCCCTCTCCCTCCTCCCTCAGCTTCCCTGAATTAATTCAACCTCGATCCAGCCCCTTTCCTCCCTCGCGTCGCCCCTCAGAGGCGGGTTCGGCGCCTGCGCATTGAGTCCGAGAGGCCGGGAGGTTGCGGGCGGGTGGAGGAATGTGCGTTACAGTTAAATAGTGGATACAGCGCCGCAGAAGCGGCGCTTTCTGGGGACCGGATGAAGGACAGGGACTGAGTGAAGCGGGAGGAGCTGCGGCCAGAGGGAGCGCTCGGGCCGGGTCGCAGCTGCAGTGCTGAGGAGACCGAGGCGGCCAGTAGAGACAACAGACGGCGAGGCTCCATGGCGCGGCGTGGGTTCCTGAGTGACCGCGGTGTCGCCAGCTCCACTGTCACAGCTGTGCACGGCGCTCTGTTCCCCTGAGGAGCGCTCACTTTGCCTCCTGACGAGGAAAAAGGGTTCGCTCACCCCATCGGGGTCTTCGGGTTGGACCGAAGAGAGAAGGGGAGCCTACCGGGGCCTCCCTCGTCGTTCGCTTCCCTCCCACACGGGCGGGCGTGCCGTGGGCTGGAGTAGGCGGCGGCGGCGGCGTTCCTGCCTCTATGATGAAATTCAAGCCAAACCAGACGCGGACCTACGACCGGGAGGGTTTCAAGAAACGGGCGGCATGCTTGTGCTTCCGCAGCGAGAGGGAGGATGAGGTGAGAGCCGGGTTCTGGAAGGCTGCGGCGTGTGGCTTGGAGGAGAACGAAAGCAATCGGGGTTATCGGAGTCGGGGCTGCCGCGCCCAGACCCGCTCGCTCCTTCCTTCCTTTCCTCCTTCGCCGCCGGCCATCAATCCATTCGGCTCCTTTGTGTGCGGTGTCTGCCGGAAGGATTTGGCTTGTCGCCCCCTTGCGAGCCCCGTCGGTCCCTGCCCAGCTCCTTCGCCGGCGTGGCTGACGGGGAGCCAAGATCTGGCTGCGTGGAAAATAATCTTTTCCCGAGACCAGCCCAACTCGCGGTTCTGGAATGCAGGGACTGCGGGTCGCCAGTGGGCGTCGGCAGAAGCTCTCCGCGGGCAGCGTTAACTAGAGGACTCGGGGGCTGCAGCGAGGGCCGGACAGGGGAGAGCGCTAGGAAGGCTCCACGTGTGTGAGAGATTGCTGCAGGTCAACCAGCCCGTGGGTGAGGTTAGAACCAATGTGCTTTCAGCACTTGCTAGCCGGACTGATCTGGCTGTCTCCGACATCGGCAAGAGCCGAGTTCAACGACCTCTTTAGAGTCGGGCGATCAAGTTGCTTTTGAGACCGTCACCGTTTTTATAGCAAAGCCCCTTCCCTCCTCCCCTGACTTCTAAAGCAGACAGGTAGGCGGCAGTAGTTCCTATTTATGTAACTGTAATCTATGAAACTTGCTCCTGACGATTTTCCTGCCCCATTTTTGTCGTTTTGCGATATGTTCTGAATGGCCTGTATTACCTGAGTAACGATTTTCTATTACCAATAGAAAAAAATAACTGTAACTTAGGGTTGAACTGTGGAGACCTTGGTGATCTCTGAATTTTATAGTTTGTTGGCACATTTTCATTAGCCAATTAGGTAACATCAATGTACTAGTGGGTGATGAAACATCTGCAAGCAAACAGCCAAGCCCAAAGAGCACCAAGGATTCCATTATTTCCTATTAAACCAGGTAGTTCAAAGATAAGAAACTGACTTGAAGCATGATTATATATTAAGTGCTTAAATAAAATATCTGGGTTAAAATCTATGGATAGATTTGTTTTCATATACATCCAAGTACTATTTGAAACTAAATAATACATTATGCAGTGTAATTTTACTAAATTTTGAAAAAAAGCTATATTTTGCTTGAAAAGCACAAATGCATGCACAAAATTGCTTTGACTAGTCTAGTTTAGATATACCGTAACTGGTTGCAGAAATATGGATGACCATTAGATGGCTGCAGAATCAGGCTTTTCCATATTACTTTGATGTCATCTACTGCAGGGCTTTTCAATCTTTTCACCAATTGTACCACTTTTAGGATATGGCAATATTCGAGTACCACCTAGCAAGGTGTCAAAAACTTGACCAAAAAAAACAAAAAACCTGTTGAAAGTTGCAATTGCACTGAAATGACTTATGACCATTTTTCACACTTATGACCTTTGCAGCATGCCCAGGGTCATGTGATTTATATTTGGATGCTTGGCAATTGATTCATATTTATGATGGTCACAGTGTTCCAGGGTCATGTGATCCCCTTTTGCAACCTTTTGACAAGCAAAGTCAATGGCAGGGCTGCTGGTGGCCAAGTGCTAAGGCGGGACTTCCCTCCCTCTTTCTCATTCCCATCTCCTTCTGAAGGAAGAATTTGAAAAAAAACAACCCATATTTTATCTCTTCCATATATTCATCAAACATATTCATCAGCCTCCAGAGACAGAAAAGACAAGCTGCTAAGTGAACTAGCTTAAAAAGGTACATTCCCTTTTAAGAATTAGCTACTGGCTAGAAAGGAAAGTTAAGCTGCCAGCACTTAAGGAAGAAAAAAAAATGTAAGTACTGGCTGCCGGCTATGGCTCCATTCTTAAGTAAAGGAATGCTACAGGCAAAATCCATTCAGGAAAAAAATACTTCAAAATCCCTTGCAGCAAAACTTACAGCTAACAATAGCAGAGCAGTAGAGGCTAACACGAGCCATCAGCCAAATAGAAATTGCCAAATACTCCTTAAGAACAGAAAGCCCACATTGCATAAATCCCAGGACTTCAAAGTCACAAAAGCACATAAGAATCCTTCCGCTCTCCATCTCCCTGCCTCACCTCCAGCCATTGCTGCCTTTTTTCACTCCTCTTGGAGGGTGACCCCTCCCCCATTGCATTTCTTGCCTGTTTGCTGCTGCCAGCACAGGTGGCTGCCACAGCAGTTGTAGATCAGCTCATGGCCAGCCTGCTTGATCTCTCCTCCCACCCTTCTCTTCCTCCTTCTTTCCCTTTAGTGCAGCTAAAGCTGACTCTACCTCCTCCCAAGGCTGCTGTTTTTTTTCCTCTCCCTCTCCCACCCAAACTGCCTCCTTTTATAGCCTCTCCTGCCTACGTCCCCCTCCTCCTCCTCCTCCTCTCCCATGGGGCCTTTGCCTCGCCCCAGCAACTCTGCTGCTGCAGAGGACTCTCTCACAGTAAGTCCTTGCCTGCACTGGCTCTTTCCCTCCCCCACTATACTTGGCTAGGCAGGGCTGTGTACCACCTGCTGCTTGTTAATGTACCACAAGTGGTACATATCACTGGTTGAAAAGCCCTGACCTACTGGATGTCAGGATTTTTGCATTCCAGAGATGGTAATCATTCTTGACAATGTATCAAACTACTAGAAAGGTTTTAGCAGTTCCAAAAACTACCATCATTGACAAAAAAAGGTATTGTTAGTATTGATACCTGACGGAACTTTTAAAACATCATTAAAGTCTCAATACTTGATTAATTGTTGTTGAATTAACCTTTGTTTTTTTAAAGCTAATTATATTTTAAAAATTCAGCTCCATTCCATTAAAACATTTAGCTGTCACTTCTCGGGTTTATTCAAAGTGACACAAAAGTCTACTGAGGATACATTTAAATACAAGGTAGTATATTGTGTGTCCCTTATTTTATCTAAGCCAGGGTTTTCCATCCACCGGTCCATGGACCGGCACTGGTCTGCGGCATGCCAGAAACTGGGCCGACCAAACAAGTGAAGCCCTATCCACGGGATGCAGGCAGCCCTTTCCAGTCCTCAGAAAAACCTCTCTCCATGGAACCGATCCCTAGTGCTGAAAAGGTTGGGGGCCATTGATCTACATTATGTATAAGAAACAATTTCAGATAATTTTCTTATAAATATTTGACTCTCTGCTATTTCTAAAGTACAGCATATGAATAAATATTTTCTCTGCATCTTTGATGAGTAGCAGGTGTTATTTGAAGTTGATGTGTAGCAGGTGTTATTTGAAGTTGATGAGGGAAGAAAAGATATACTACTACTATATAATATAGCAGTCACATAGTATTCTTGTCATATAAACTATAAGCAAATCTACAAAAACAGGCCTAACTGTATCAGTTTACTATAATTCCATAATGCACTTGCGTAGCCCTCCAGTACTGTTATGTCTTACTGGTGAAGAACTTAATATTGCTAGACTTTACTTGTATAAAATAGCAAGAATTTAAAGTTGTATGATTATAGTTATATACAGTGCTTTTTTTTAAAAAAAAAAAAAAAGGTGCCGGAACTCACACACGTCATGCAACCTGCCTTGCCCACCCTACAAGGTTCCATCCAAAAAAGGTGCCGGAACTCCGTTCTGGGCGTTCTATGAGAAAAAAAGCCTTGGTTATATAACTGTTTATAGGGTTATTATAGCTTTTCTTGTATGTTTTTCCTCTTTTCTCCACACCAATCTTATAGCATGTTAATATTAATGGTAGTTATAATGTATCTGTTCAGAACCATTTGAACACCTTTCCTAACATTAATATAGAGTTTATTAAAAAGTAGCTTTTAAAAATTAACATTTACAATACATTGAAGAAATTCAGTTACAGTGTTAGAGAAATGACTGTGGGGCTCACTTAGAGATATATTCACATAATAATTATTGCAGGAGTCTTGAATCTAAAAAGGACCTGGATATATTAGATATTTTATATTTATTACCAAACAATCTACTAAGGATGATCATGAAATCCTATTCATATTATATTTTGAATATTTAGAACTTTGCCATCGAAAGAGAATAATAATAATAATAATAATAATAATAATAATAATAATAATAATAATAATAATAATAATAATAGTAAAGTTGGAAGGGACCTTGGAGGTCATCTAGTCCAACCCCCTGCTCGGGCAGGAAACCCTACACCATTTCGGACAAATGGCTGTCCAGTCTCTTCTTAAAAACTTCCAGTGTTGGAGCATTTACTGCTTCTGGAGGCAAGCTGTTCCACTGATTAATTGTTCTAACTGTCAGGAAGTTTCTCCTTAGTTCTAGGTTGCTTATCTCCTTGATTAGTTTCCACTAATAGATACAAGCCTTCTCATAAAAACATTTTATTAGGTTGCCTAAGGAGCTCAGTATGTTCTTAATTAAAATAATCTTGTGTAGTTTAGTCTGCAGTGTGGCTGTACGTGGGTCAGTGATCCATGCATCACTCCTACCTATTCAACTGAATATGCTACATAACAAAATGCCAGCATCATTCCTCTCCTCCCCCTGAACGAGTGGAACTTGCTTCAAAATTATTCCTCCCCCTGAAAAATTAAGAATGGCTGCAGCTAAAATTATTCCCAGAACCTAAAAATTAAGAATGGCTGCAGCTACTTGTGTTTAATTTGGAAGTATAACCATGAAATTCACAAAACATTGAGTGATAGAGTTCATCTGTGAAGCCATTGAAGAAGACAGGAAGAAAAATACTGTTAGAAACTAGCATACCTGTATTATCTTGACAATATGATCTTGCACAATTAAACTTCTCAGACAATTTTAAATCTGTAGAGGGAGCTGTTGTATTAAAAGTGAACTACTCAGCAAGTTTTAGCATGTATAAGTTTCAATAATTCACTTTCAAGAAAAAAAAACACCCTAACTATAAGGCATACCTTACAACTAACTAGTTTTACTTTTCTGAGTATTTTGGCAGATCCACTTCATAAAATTCAAAGAAAGAAACAAGAGACTTAAGTATTTAGTAAAGATAAAGATCTGGGGATAAGTAGGAAAAACATCTTATGTCTAATGTTACATTAGAATAAGCCTAGTAATTCTTAAGCAATTCACTTCTCTTTAAAAGGATGTTCTATCTCAAAAAACTTCATTAGGGACTGTTTATTAAATGTATGCCAAATCCTGTGTTCTTTTTCAGTTCTGCAAAATAAGTCTAAATAGTCATAATGAAAGCAAAAAATGTGTAGGTGCTAAGAAAAATATAAATCAAACTGTTTTATTATAAAACAAATTAGAAAAATTTGAATCCTTTTTAAGTAACTGTTACATTTTGACTTTCTATATAGCAGTTATAGCATGACAGTATTGTGCCTGTTTGTTGTAAGAAACTCCTTGTGATTTTCATTTGACTTCTTCAGAAGTGCTAAAACTTAACTGTTCCCAGTAATGTAGAAGATTATTTCTGAATCTCCAACAGGATTAAAATAATATATATTTTATATAGTAAGGGTATTCTAGTTGACAAGTGTGCTTTCTCACAATATGAAAATCCCTATTGTATTGCCCTTGTCCATATTGTAGGATATCTTTGTATAGAGATGCACTTCTTAACATTTTAAATTTAACTTGTGACTGAAACCATATTATGACAAAACAGCTTGTTATGATTCTTTGAACATCATTTAGATTAAATTATAATTCTTTTCAGGAAATGCTATGAATTTCTGTAGTAGTGGGAAAAAGCCTTGCCTCTTATCTTGTGAAAACTCTAGATTATTTAATGCACTTTTGAATATTGTCTGACCTATGTGGAATGTTGTCATTTTTCTCCTAATATATGGGCATCGTTATATTTGAATATGATTTTGCCAAGTAATAACATAATGCTATGCTAAGCCACCTTGTTTTTTGTGCCTTTCTTGCTTGGATTGAAATATGAAATACTTTAGTAGTTGATCCATGGAACTGGAAATAGTTGCAATAGTTGTGCGCTTAAAAACATTTTTGCCTAGGCTGCAAATGTCCAGATTAAAATTTTTCATTTTCACTTCAATATGTATGAATGCCTATAAACTATTTAGATGATCAATAATTATAAATAAAATGAGAATATTATGTTTGGAGGTTGTACTGTATAAACCTCATAGTAGCCAAAGGAACCATTTTTATCAGATTCTGTGGACTGCTAAAACTTTGTTCTGGATTTCTAGAGTTAATTGAAATAAGCATGTTTAATACTGAATTCTTTTCAGAATCTAAAGATAGTGTATGTTACCATAGGGCTTCATGCATTGCACAAAATCACAAGATACCACATTATGGCTTATCATACTGTGTGGTTCTAATCTGTAATATTTGCTTCATTTGTCTATTCTGTTATAAAATAACTTGAGAAAAAATATTTTAAATGAAAAAGATGTTTGAGAACAAAAAAATTGAATACTTAGACATTTCCCCTTCCCACAAAAATAGGCATGTCCAGAACTATGGACTGAACATAGCTTCTTTTGTGTTTTACAGTGCTGTGATTTCTCCCTCAAACTTTGAAAAGTAGTGTGCAAATAATTTGCTGTGGAAGAGCAACAAATGAGTGACTTGAATCCAGGGTTGTGGTGATTATTCGCTCTTAGAAGAAACTTTAGTTTGCTGAGGAGTAAAATTTTGACAAAAGTTTTCATTAGACTTGACTCCAGTGGGACTGTGAGTAACTTTTTAATATTACATATGCACACTGTGCTTTGTTACCACCAGACATTTAAACATGAATATATATCAAAAGATTATAAATAACCAGCAAGTTGCTTAAATGTGTTCCAAGACATTCATTCAAATAGGATTAGTCCTACATACATGTGGAATCAATTTAGGCACCTTTTTTGCTTGTAGTTTTGACATATCCAGTTTTATGTAGTTCTAAGATAGCCAAAGCATCTTTTGAAAGATATGTAATTCACTATTCAAACTATTTTGATTAAAAGTATAGTGTAAACCAGGGGTGTCAAACTGCCAGCCCACAGGCTGGTTTCAACATACCGAAGCTGCGCCCACCCCATTGCCGGCAATGCAAAAAGAGTTGCGATATGTCGCGACATGTCACATGACGTGGCAAGTTTGACACCTGTGGTCTAAACAAAAAAACCTGCTGTCTTATTTGGCATAACAAGACAATTATATTCCAAATTACAGGTAGTTATAGTTATAACATGTTTGCATTAGCAAACCCTACCTCAGGTGTTCTGAATATTCATTTTAAGAAAGATTTTTAAAAACTGGAATAGGTTCAAGGAAAAACAACATGAATAATAAAGGTCTAGTAACTAAATTTTGTGAGGAGAGACTAAGAAAATGGAGTATGTTTTTTCTTGAGAAAAGAAAACTTCAACAGTATGTATTCAAGTGTACACAATCCAAGGCATGTAAAAGGGCACCATATTGATGCTTTTTATTCACAATAAAAACAGTTCAGAAATAGGACCAGTTCTCAAAGAAAGTAAGGAATTCTCCTGTATTAGATAGGTTCAAGAGAAGCTGGATAATCATTTATTGTATATGCTTTAAATTGGGTTTCTACACTGAGCAAAAAAGCTTCAGTAGTTTAAAAGGTTCCTTTCAATTCTTAATTTATAAAAATTCCATGATAAATTAATGCTTTGTTCTTTAAGGCTGCTTATGTTTTGAAAACTAATTTTGACTATAGGAATGCAAATTAATTTTATATAAAAATCATAATACAAGTAAATTCTTTCACTGCCTACATTTTTTTCCATTAAGCTAGCGGCAATTACTGAAAACAGTGCCATGTATTGGTAGTTCATGGATTTGACTCTTATATAATAGTACAAAGTTGTATTTTCAAGCTTCAGGCAAGCCAAACAATGACTCCTTCCTTGTATTAGTAATTGGGATCTCTGATCACAAGTTGAACAATATAAATGCTGAATGAAACGTTTTCATTAAGCTGAATTATTTCATCCAGAAAAATAATCAGATTCATTATTGTTGGTGGTTACTCAGATGAATATAAAAACATGCTTTCCTTCATGTGGGGGGGAGGGGAAAAATGTCATCTGATGAAAAAACCTTGTTTTCTGATATAACTATAAAAATTCTGTTGGATGGGAGAAAAATAAACTTAAAATAATGTATCTAAAATTGAAGAAATAAGGCAGTAGAAGTCTAAAAACCATAAAGTATACCTGGCTGTGACCACAGTATCTAAATGTGGTGAGTGTCCTTCATAAGCACTAACATTTATAATCATGAAGAAAATATACTATGAACAAAGTTTTTTCAACAGATTAACCAGTTTATTCTAAAACCATGTTTAGCTATATATCTAAAAGCTACTTCACTCTACTAAGAAAAATGTTTAATTTGTGCTGCTATTTGAGAAGAAATAGAAAATAAATATATACTGATTATTTTTTTAAAGATCCAGTGCAAATCATATACAGTATTGAAATATGGCTCAATTCATTTACATTAGTTGATACTTGCTACCTTTATTTCCCATTGGTTTTATGCAAGATCTATCTAACAATAGTTAAAAGATTTCCATGGATATAATTTGTTAAGGTGGTTAAAATTATAAGGTGTAAGAGAATATAATGTAAGAATCATAACTAATGTGAGAAGAAGAAACTTAAATTGCATGTAAAATACAAAATTAGAATCATGGAATTATAAGGAACATTCTAATCCAGCTTTCTGCCCAAGGCAGGGATCTTCAACACATATGCCCTTTGTTTGATGGATATGATGGAGAACCAATTACTCAAGAGGATTTCCTCTGATACTTGAAATTAACACAGATTTGGTTCCCTTAGTTCTTGGGAATTGGATGAGTGGGACTTAGTTTATTTAGCCCTATCAGCTTTTGATTCACTAGCATTGATGTCCTTGCAGACTATCCAATTTAGGCTTGGAATGCTGTATTAACAATAGTTTTACTTATGTTCACAAAATGGAGTTAGGGGACAACAAACACTGTGGTCAGTAGTGCTCCATAGATTTTTCTCTGTAAGAACTAATCATTTCTTTGCTTTTCACATAAGACAAAGTAGTGTGAATAATGAAAATATTGCAAAGCAGAAATATGATATATACTAGTATATATCATTCTAACTCTTGCTTGAAGATAGGACTTTGTTTCGTACTGGAAAATATAGTTGACTTTTTTTAAAAAAAACTGAATTCATAGTTTAGGAATACATCTGATACTGTTCCCTAATTTTTTAGGTGAAAATGATACCATGAAATTTATCTGCTTAATTATATTTTAATGCATTAGAGTTGGAAACAAATATGCAAGCTTATAGTGTGCCTATTGCAGTGCACTTATATGAAGTGCTACTCTTAAACGACATCCAAAGTTTACATAATTGCATAATCTCACTGTTAGACTAACATTAACTGGTATCAAAATCTTATCTAGTAGTGAAAATAGGGGTATGCGCTTCTTTGTATTAAAAGCAAAAAAGGCATGAGTGTGCATATTATACCTGTCAATCATCTCGTTAAAGAAAGTACTTTTTTTCTTGGCTCACACAGTGTAGCTACTTTAACTTATAAAAATATGAATATGAGTTAAGGAGTCTTAACAACGTACTTCCGCTTATTCCAAGGCACTTCATCATACCCTGTTGGCACTTCCTTTACTCAGATTAGATGAGAGGGGATGCTCTACCACAGCGGTTCTCAACCTGTGGGTCGCGATCCTTTTGGGGGTCACATGAGCCTTTCACAGGGGTCGCCTAAGACCTTCGGAAAACACATATTTCTGATGGTCTTAGGCAGGGCTTGTCAACCGCCTTCTCTCCCTCCCCCCTCCGCTCCACCTCACTTGTTTGTGGAAAATATGCTGCTTGGTGGCAATCTGCATGAACTCTACCAAATGTGCCCTGCAGGGGCACCTGAAGAGCGTAGGCGCAGAGCAAGACCCCGCCCTCCCCAGAGACTCATTGTGCAGCAACCGGATTGACTTCTTCTCGTGAAGGGAAGGCCACTGCAGTGAAGGAGAGGCCGCTGCAGCACCCAACTCCTGCGCCCGTCAGCTGGCGACCCCCAAACTTGCGCCAGCTGACACAAGAGGGAGGGAAGGAGGAAGGGACTCTTCTTCCTCTCCTAAGCTTCAAAGCACGATTGGCTTCCCAAGGGAGCCACAATCCTCATGAAAGCGGGGGAGGGGAGAAGCAAAGGGGGCGAGAAAGCTCGCAGCGGGCTCGAAGCAGCATCTGCCAGTGTTGGTGACGAGAAATTCCCCACAAACCCAGGGAAGGGTGGAGAAAAGGAGCCCCCTTTGGGAGGAAACAGCCACCTTCTTCTCCTTGGCTTTGCGCTCTTCTGTTTCTCGGCAGCCGGGCTGGCAAGCCTCTCCTGGCTGGAACTTCCTTTCCTTCCCTCCCTCTTGGTCTCTTCCTTCCCTCCCTCTGCCATTGTCCCTTCCTTCCTTCCCTTCACCTCCCTCTTTGTCCCTCCTTCCCTCCCTCTCCCCCTTGTCCCTTCCTTCCTTTCCTTCACCTCCCTCTTTGTCTCTCCTTCCCTCCCTCTCCCCCTTGTCCCTTCCGTCTTTCCTTTCTTCCCTCTTGTGCAGGATCGGGATGAGCCTCTACAGCTGATCCGCACTTCTGCAGCTGTAGCTGCTTGCCTTGGCTCCTGCCCAGCAAACTTGCTCGCTAGAAAACATGCGCTTGCTAATTTAGCAGAAGCATGAATCAGCTGTAGCCCGGCGCTGATCCTGGAGCTTCTGCTAACTTAGCAAGCGGCATGCCTTTTGGCGAAGCTGAGCAAGTGAACTGGGCGAGCTCTCCTCTGTCTCTGCCTGTGCACAGGCAGGTTTGCCGGCAGTAAAGCCCCCAGCCACGCTGGCAGCCTATCCCCCTCCCCTTGTCCCGTCCTGGGCACGGAGGGAGGGAGGAAGGAAGGGACGAAGAGGGAGGGAAATAAGGAACAATGAGAGAGGGAAAGAAGGGAGGAACAATGGAAGGGAGGGAAGGGAGGAAGGGACAAAGAGGAAAGAAAGGAAGGAAGGAAGGAAGGAAGGAAGGAAGGAAGGAAGGAAGGAAGGAAGGAAGGAAGGAAGGAAGGAAGGAAGGAAGGAACAATGGGAGAGAGAGAGGGAAGGAGGAAGAGACTAAGAAGGAGGTGAAGGAAAGGAAGGAAAGAAGGAAGGGACAATGGGAAAGAGGGAGGGAAGGAAGAGACTAAAGGAGGTGAGGGAAAGGAAGGAAAGAAGAAAGGAAGGGACAAGGGAAGAGGGTGGGGAAGGAAGGGAGGGAGGGAGAGGGGAAGGACAATGGGAGAGGAAGGGAAGGAGGAAGAGACTAAGAAGGAGGTGAAGGAAAGGAAGGAAAGAAGGAAGACAATGGGAGAGGGAGGGAAGGAGGAAGAGACTAAGAGGGAGGTGAAGGAAAGGAAGAAAAGAAGGAAGGAAGGGACAAGGGGAGAGAAGGGAGGGAAGGAAGGCAGGCACCCACCCCAGTCCCATCCCAGAGACCCACAGATTCCCCCCCACAGGCACACTGCAACCTGTGTATCAGCTGGCCACGCCCCTGGCCATTGATCACGTGACCCTGGGACATTGAACATCGTAAGTATGAATCAGTTGTCAAGCATCCGAATGTAAATCACATGACTCTGGGGATGCTGCAACAATCATAAGTGTGAAAAATGATCATAATTCGTTTTTTCAGTGCTGTTGTAACTTCAAACAGTCACTAAGCAAATTGTTGTAAGTCAAGGACTACCTATACTTTCCCATTTTTTCCTCTTTTTTGTCAAGTTTTTGATCCCCCCCCCCCCCGGCCAGCTGGATGGGGGGTTGGGGATCACCACAACATGAGGAACTGTATTAAAGGGTCGCGGCATTAGTAAGGTTGAGAATCACTGCTCTACCATGTAAGCCCAGGAAAAAAAATACAGGTTTTCTTTTTTAAAAACGTCTTCATTAAGTTGTATATAGCCATGTCCAAGTTGAAATATGTTTTAAAGCTTAATTACAAAACTTAGCATATCCCTAACTGAATATTTGTACTGATTTTCTGTCTAGTCCCATAGCTTCAGAACAAACCAAAGAATTTTTTTTAGGTAGTCAGTGACAAGAATGTTCCATGACCATGATATTCAATCCACAAGAAATAATCAAGCCCAGCACATAGATTGAAGACCTGAGTCTAACAAGATGTCAGAGTGTACGGTAAAGGAGTCTAGGCAAACTGCTTCAGGATATCATGTATTAAATTAATCTGGTGTAATTTTAAATAACTTGGCTAATTTCCAGTGTGATTGCTTTTGGTCTGGACAATTAAGCTCTAATGTTCTTTCAAATTTCTAGCTCTCTGTGTGGGGAGTTTTTTGCGGGAGCACATTCATGGAATTGCTTTAGGATTAGAAATCTGAATGGAAGAGCTGCAAGAGATTAAAAACTATCGAAGCTCCATTCTAGCATTTAAGTCTCAAAGCAACAGAAGTTCACAGGTTTAGTTGTCTCATTTTCTAATATCTTCTAACAGAAATCTTTAATTTGTCAATGACGTTGGGCTAATTCAAGTTGTTGGTTGCAGCCATTAAAGTCTTCAGTTGTTGAAAATTATACCTAGCTACCATAGGTACTGTCTATCTTAGTATTAAGATAAACTATAGTCTGTTTGAGGTGGCTATCGTTGCAACACCTACTTATTGCCAAGTGGGGAATTTCATCATTATTTCTAAAATTGGAATGTATTCAGAGTTACAATTAGTTTTTGCTAGGTTTTTTTCCCAAGAAGTATCAAAACATGTCTCTTTAACTTGGCCTTTAAATTACTTTCTTTACTTTATTATTTTCTGATAGCATTATTTATTGCATACTACTATGGTCTCTTAATAAAAATGTGACATAAATGCATTAATTACAGTGATTTTATTCATAGGTGCTATTAGTAAGCAGTAGCCGGTACCCAGATCAGTGGATTGTTCCAGGTGGAGGAATGGAACCTGAAGAAGAACCAGGTGGTGCTGCTGTCAGAGAAGTTTATGAAGAGGTAAAATGATTCAGAATTCCCAATTTGAAATAATTTGTGGCTGTTTTTTTCAGGATCTTTATTACTAATTCATTCTTCTGGTATATAAGGTAGACAGAACTCATGTTTTACATACATCTAGAAAGAATCATTCTTACATTTCTTTTCCAGTCCATAAGTGTAAAATAGTTACATGCTAGACTCATCTGAATGAAAATACTACATTACTACTAGATGTATAATATTCCTTTATGATAGTGCCAGTGGATTTTGCAAGATACAGAACTCAAAATGTTTTTCTCAATAATGTGATTCTTATCAAGTATTTTCTTGAAGAACAAAACTGATTGCTATTTAAGTGTGCTAAATTTCTCCAAACTTTCATCTGCCTTATTAGTTACGGTACATTTTCCTGCATGCAAGTCCTATGAAAATAATTAAACAGGAACCTTTGTTGGAAAGTTCTGTATCTAAATTGAACCTAACTACTAGAATTATGAAATGAAGGTGGTTTCCCTCCCCATAATTATATCGCTCCTAGAAGTTATATTGTAGGAATACAAGGATTGTCTATAATTTATTTATTTTTTGAAAAAGTCTGATTGCCTTACTTCTTGCAGGCTGGAGTAAAAGGAAAACTTGGCAGATTGTTGGGAATATTTGAGGTGAGCTTTTTAAATTTTTCTTGGGAACTTATTCTAGAAAATTAGTGCGTAGTTGTATTTATTAGGGGCAGGAGGAAACACATCTAACATTACTTGAGTGAAGAATTGATAATTTAAATATTTGGACTTCTTAAAAATCAGATTTAGCAATGGAGCAATATCATAATACAAAAATGAAAAGATATCTAGTATTTATGGGATACTGCTTTCTCCAGTTTACAAAGTTGTTATTTTTGAAATTCATTCAGGCTGAAATCATTACTACCTCCACTGAAAAGCAATGAGAATATTTAGAGAAAGCACTTCTATAAACATTTGGGTAAAGTAGACATCGCTATTAGAAGATTTGCAGTCCAAGGTTGTCCATGCTTGTATATATCCATGGCTGCTTTGCTTTGCTGGCAGTCTCAGTGGAAGTGTCTGATATAGACATACACGCCCACAAAAGAGGGCAGCTTTCAAAACAGAATAAAGTTGCTTTAAAACCTCAGGGAAAGGGATTTTTGCATTTGTGAAGAGTTTTGCTGTGAAAACAACAGAGATAATTAACTTTTGTGTGATTCCTGGACATAGCATGTTCTGTTAAATTCCGTAGACCACTATTTGCAAATTCAATAAAAGCCAGTAGATAAAGCAGAATCATATTTATAACATTTATATTTCTCTTTCCAAGTATACAAGGAAAACTAATATTACTTTTAGTATTGCAGACTCATCCTACTCTTTTATAATATTATAATTTTGCTTTTTTCTAGTTTGTTACCTTGTTTCTATAATGACTGTTAGCGATTAACATCAGTCATATTGACAATATTTTGTACATTCTCATCACATTATTTCCTTTGGGATTAGGGTGAGCAGTATTACATAAAGGAGCAAAATGGAGGAAGAAATAGCAAAATAAATTGAAGATCTGAGATAAAAGAACACAAAATATAGTTAAATCCAGATTGCACTTACATTATTCACCTCTCCATATGTTTTTATCTTTACAAATTATCTTTGTTTCTATCATATCCCTACAATGTTTCATACATTTATTTTTTGTTCATTAAACTCCATGTAACCATGACTTTCTCAGTCCCTTTCTTCTCAATTCCTTCACCCTCAATTATAGATTTCTTTGGCCTTCACTTCTCAATAATTCCTTCTGTGTAATTAAACTACAGGTAGTCCTCGACTTACAACAGTTCCTTTAATGATTGTTCAAATTTACAATGGCACTGAAAAATGTGACTATTGACCATTTTTCAGTTACGACCTTTGCAGCATCCCCATGATCATGTGATCAAAATTTGGATGTTTGGCTATTGGTTTATATTTATGACTGTTGCAGTATCCCGGGATCATATGATCCCCTTTTGCAACCTTCTGACAAGCAAAGTCAATAGGGAAGCCAGATTTACTTAACAACTGGGTTACTAATTTATCAACTGCAGTGATTAACTTAATTGTAGCAAGGAAGGTCATAAAAAGGGTCAAAATTCACTTAACAAATGTCTCACTTAACAACACAATTTGGGCTCAATTGTGGTTGTAAGTCAAAGATTACCTGTATATCAACATACTTCTTTCATTCTGGTCACACTTTTATATTTAGAGTATTGACTTCACTCTCATTTTTGACCTATGTTTTCCTTGTTTCACTATACATTCTGCTTAAGTACTTCATTTCCACAGTATTCAGCTTTTATGTTTCTTTAGCTACACTCAGTTTTCTCTTCCAGATAACAAAGTGGACAAAAATATCCTGTTTTATATATACCAGTTTTGCTACTTCTGCTTCTTTTGATAAATATTCATTCCTTGCATCCAATCACATAATATTCACTACCTTTCTACCAACATTTATGTTAAATGCTGTATTCATGTACTCAGCCGATGCACTTCTAACCTCACAAGCATTTTTATTAACTTATTAAAGTGTCAAGCTCTAATCACACATCCATGTCTTACTCCCTGCCATGCCTATTTTTTTTATTATATCCTCATTTTCATATAATTCTTGTTACCTTTTCAAGAACAAATAAATGAATGCACATCATATGCCCAATATAAAGTTTCAGTATACTGGTTCAATTTTGTTTAGTCTCCCTTCTTTTACCCTTTCAGCCAGAATTCTGTCAGGCACACTTGACAAACTAATTTTGATGTAGTTTTTGGATTCGGATTTTTTACTTTTCTTTTTGAAAGAATGCCATTCTTTCTCATCACACAATTATCAGACAAGGAATATTTTTCACAACCTAATAAAGTAGTAACGCACTTATTATATAAGCAAAAACCACTACATATTTTAACATTTTTATATTATACTATATTTACAACCTTACAATATGTTTGACATATTTTTCATAATTATTTTTCTGAACATTAACATTTATAGCATTTATTTCCATTCCATTATATCTACCATTTCCTATATATATAAAATAATTCATTTCAATATTTCTCAGTTCCTTTTTATCTTAACATTTCATCTCTTATTTTTTTGTACATAAAAATTTGTTTTCTTTATACAGGACACATACTTTCAATAGTCATTCTTTCACTTTAGTTTTTTTTTTTTGTTTTCATTTCTTCCTATGTTTTTTTTTTTCAAATGCCTGTGCCACATTTCCCTAAGCAAATATTGACCCCCCCAAAAAAAAATCCTCATTCTCTTTTGTAAGGCCTCTAAATCGCCTGTTTTTAATACTTTTGTCTTCTTATCCACTCACTTAAGTCATCTAATTAAACTGCCCACCACCCTATTATATTCACTTAGAACAGTGAATAACCAGTGGAACAGCTTGCCTTCAGAAATCATGGTGCCCCATCACTAGAGATTTTTAAGAAGAGACTGGACAGTCACTTGTCTGAGATGGTATAGGTTCTCCTGTTGAGCAGGGGGCTGGACTAGAACAGGGCTTTTCAACCAGTGGTACAGGTACCACCTGTGGTACATTGGTACCTGGCAGGTGGTACACGACCATCCTAGAAAAGTGGTAGCAAAGGAGGGGAATGGGCTGAACCGTTGGCAGCACAGCACAAACCTAAGCGAGAGATGGCGGAGCTGCAGCACTGTCAGGGCTCAGTGGAAGCACCAGGATCAGTGCCAGGCTCCAGCTGGAGCTTGGCGCTGATCGTGGTGTTTCTGCTGAGCCCTAAAGAAGCACCAATCAGCTGGAAAGCAGCACTGATCCTGGCACTTCTGCTGAGCCCAGAAGAAGCGCTGATCAGCTGGAATGTTGCAGCATCTCCAGGATCTTGTGATTTACATTCAGATGATTGGCAACTGATTCATATTTATGACGGTCACAGTGTCCTAGGGTCATGTGAAGTGACCAAAACCTGCTGCAACCACCCAGCAAATGGGGGGGAATAAAAACCAAACACCCCCCCACCCCACCCCCACTGCCAATCCTCAACAGAAATGCTCACAACAATGAAAACCTTGGACAAGAGGAAGAGCACCATGGGTGGGCAGGCAGGTGTCTTGCTTGGCTGTGGCTTGGGGGGCACTTTTTTCAGTGCCATTGTAACTTCGAACAGTCACTAAGCGAACTGTTGTAAGTCAAGGACTACCTGTACTTTATCACTTTTTTCCTTTTTTGGGGGGGGGGTCATCAAGTTTTTGACACCTTGCTAGGCAGCTGGTGATACTCGGATGTTGCCATATCCTAAGAGTGGTACAATGGGTGAAAAGGTTGAAAAGCCCTGGACTAGAAGACCTCCAAGGTCCCTTCCAGCTCTGTTCTGTTCTACCTCCAAGGTCCCTTCCAGCTCTGTTCTGTTCTAACATTATATAATTTCCTCAGAATGTTACATAGAACTTATCATTGCTCTTCCATTATGATTTCTCACTGGGCCTTAACTTGTAATTATCACCAACCTGTGGATTTCTTTTTCTGTATATACATCAGGTAATCTATATAACATCTTAACAATCCTGTCATTCATGATGACAGTTATGCCATCACCTTCCAACATATATTCATCAACTCTGTTCCATACAGAGATGGGTCAGTATCATTCAGGTTTATTCTTCCCATTTCTTTTAGTCTCATAAAAATTCAGCCTACCTATTTTTTTTTTCATTTGTTAATTTATGCTGTTTAACATTTCTTATGCTTGCAGTCACAGTCTTCTATGGCTTTCACCAAAGGGGCTCATAAATGCTGTAGTTATTAGGCCTATCTTTAATCATACTGGTGCAACATGCAGCACTCATTACTAAAATTAAAAACATCACACAATTTTGGCACATTTGGTAATATGCAACAAGTTCAGCCCCAATTGTATCCCAAGCATGCTCATACTGTTCTATGAAAGCTTGGATTCCTAATCATATCAAAACTGCATCCTACCAGCTAAAAGCTACATATTATACAGTATCCTGATACAAATTCAGAATAATGTTGCTTTTTTGGAATTATGCTAATTCATGAATGTCAACCACCCTGAATACTGTTTACTATGAAAAAATGGGATGTAAATAATGTTAATACATCTCTGATATTGCAAATGTAAATTAAATGTATGTCTGTTATCTTTTTTCATACTAAAGCAGAATCAAGACCGGAAGCATAGGACTTATGTTTATGTTCTCACAGTGACTGAAATCCTGGAAGACTGGGAAGATTCAGTAAATATAGGCAAGACTTTTTTTGCCTTATATATGCTAAACTTTTAAAACAAAGTGTTTTTAGAATGTTATATTTAAGAAATGTTATTTTTAGGAAATGTCCGCTCAAGTTGCAATACCATGTTATATATAAATAAATAAATAAAATAAAATAAAATAAATCCTTATTCATTAAGATGCTAAGATATACACAAACATTTCATATACAGAGATGAAGATTTTGCCAGCTTGCAAGCAATAGCCTTGATTCTCACAATTAAGCTTAAATATATTAAAATTTAAAATTTTAAAGTAAAAAATACTTCTATTTAAAAAGTATAACAAAATACTGTGAAAAAGTTCTTGTTTACTTTTTTGTAAAACTTACTTACAAATTATCTAGGTTTATAGGCAAACAAATTGACCAAATTTGCTGATGATACTAAGTCGTTTAAAGGGGGCATTGTGTTACCGGTAGGACTCTGAAGGATTTTTCCAAATGTAGTGAATGGGTCTCACATAGATAAGTGTGCTGACTTACAAAATATGGGCATAAAAATTCACTAGAATCATAAGGAAAAAATAGAACATTGAAAGAGGTTTAGAAAAATTCAGTGAGAAAAGTGTGTGTTTTGACACGGTCAAAAAAAACTTGAAAACAAACTGATCAGGTTGTCTTAGAATTTTGTAGATTATATAATTTTTGCAGGCTTTTTCTTATTGTTGATGATGATACATTTAAGAGCTGTGTGTGTGTGTGTGTGTGTGGGTGGGTAAAGTATAAATAAAATATACTGCTCAAAAAAATAAAGGGAACACAAACGTATAGGATCCTATACGTTTGTGTTCCCTTTATTTCTGTGAGCAGTATATATATATATATATATATATATATATATATATATATATATATATATATATATATATATATATATATTGCTAGGTGTTTCTTAATAGAATATAATAAATATATATAGTAAATACATAGCAAATCCTAACCATATGGTTATTATTTACTGTATAGGTATTCCTTGAGAAAGACAAGCCACTTAATGACTATTCAGAATTACGACCAACACCCCAAAACTACTTAAAACATTGTTTCAAAGATAAGGGCTACAGTGCTTCCACATCATTTGCCCTTATAACAGACCATGGGGAAGCTGTAGTGCTCCCCTGCCTCTCTCCTTGAAGCAGCTGTCATTTTCAGCACCCCAACAATTCCTTGTGCAAATGGCAGCTGCTTTAGAGCTTTCTGCCCCATCAGCTGGCCAGTAGGAGATTCAATACCTCTCCTGCCTTTTGCAAGGTTTTAGGAAACCAGCTTGTGTGTGCACAAAGGCAGCTTCTGGATGAGCTTCTCAAAACCTTTCCCTTGGTTTAAGCCCCTCCCTCCCCCAGAAAGTCATAGTTCTTCAATAAAGAAAACAAAAACTGGGAGGGAGCAGTTGTTGATCTTTCTTCTCCTTTCCCCCCTCCCCAAAATTAGTTGCAAAACTAAACTCCCTGCCTCTGCTGTCCAATCTCTATCCCTTTTAAAAAACCTTATCTTAACTCCATGGTAAAGAATAGAGAACAGAAGCAAGCAAGAAAAAAATCTTTCTGCAACTTTTCCCCTGGAACTGGAAAATCCCCAAAATTTAGACAACTAGAGACTTGTGCAACAAAGCGGAGGATGCTGGTCTTTGCAGGCTTGTCCTCCTGTAGAATTCAGCTAGGACTTCGTAAAGGCGAGACCAGTGGTTCTCAACCTTTTTAATGCCGCGACCCCCAACCGGTTGTAAGTTGAGGACTACTCAACTGGTCGTAAGTCAAGGACTACTCAACTGGTGCAACACCATTTGCAGAATGGGACTTTTGGCGGGCTCAGCAGGGCAGAGACAGCCTGGACAATTCCTATTGGCTTTTGAAAGCCAATAGAATTAGACTCTATTCTATTGAAAGCCAATAGAATAAAAGGGAGTAGCACAGCTAAGGAAAAGGGGGAAAAAATGGCGGACTGCGTTGTTTGGCGACCCCCGTGAAATGGTCTTTCAACCCCAAATGGGGTCCCGACCCACAGGTTGAGAACCACTGGGCTAGACAATAGACTGCCTCTGCAGGCAATCAGGCAAACAGCTAAAACTTGCAAAGGCCTAGTATCCTCCATTTTGTTGCACAAGTCTGTGTAGTCAGCTAAACTTTTGGAGTTGAATTTTTCAGTGGTCAACTGATGGGGCAGAAAGCTGCAAAAGGCTAGGGAGCTGGTTCTTTTTTTGCCGCAGAAAGGAAGAGAACCTTGGCATGGCAGGGGCAGAATTAGGAAATGCAAGTATGTCCAGCATTATCATTTCTCCTTCATAAGACAGATATGCAGTGGGCCAGGATGTCAGACGCCCAAGGGTTGGGAAGTGGAGCATAGATATGCATGGAGTATCTCGGGATGGGGGAGGTCTGAGGTCTAGGTCTCCCAGGATTTTCCCCAGCCCTGAACTCCACTTAAAGATCTGTGCATTTGTTTAACACTTAACAAATGCACTGGGGAGAGAAGGATGGCAGGCTCTATTATAGTCCTAACTTGAGGACTACCTATACTGGCCAGTCATTTGGCAAACAGCTCTACCTTTTACTGTTGTCTTAGGTCATTTCTTTATTAAATTACATTAGCCATTTAGAACATTACTTGGGAATAAAAGGGCAAAAGACAGAAATAAAAATAATAATAAAAGGACTGAAGTTTTTCTTCTCAATATTGGAACTAATTATCTGTTAAACCTAAATGTAGGAAAATTAATTATAATAAACACATATTTATACAGCATACTATTAAAGTATATATCCAGTCATTTCATGACTATCAGCAAGTTTTAAAAGAGTCTAAATAGGATTGGCTGATCAATGGCTATGGATCTTGAAGCCAGAGTCATACAGAATATAAACCTGTTCAGGAATACGGAAAGATCTAGGTATCTCATAAGCAAGTTTGATAACTTTTTGAAAGTTTCTTTTTTTTTTTTTGGGCCATGTTCTGTGGAATACAGGTAGTCCTCAACTTACGACCATAATTGAGCCCAACATTTTTGTTACTACACAAGACATTTAAGTGAATTTTGCCCTATTTATGATTTTCTCAGTTAATTGAATCACTGCAATTCTTAAGTTAGTAACACAGTTGTTAAATGAATCTGGTTTTCCCATTGACTTTTATTAGGAGTTGCAAAAGGTAATCACATGAGCCTGGGACACTGCATTGGCCATAAATATGAGTCAATTTGCCGTGTCTGAATTTTGATCATGTGACCATGGGGATGTTGCAACAGTCTTAAGTGTGAAAAACAGTCATCACTCATTTTTTCAATGTTGTCATAACTTTGATCACTAAATGAACTGTTGCAAGCTGAGGACTACCTGTATTAGACTGTGTTATCTTGGTCTTATCCAGAATGTATTTTAAGAATAAATCTGAAATTTCTGGAGTGTTTTAACTCATATTTTTACATGCAACTTGTTAAATAATGAAATGAAGGAACTTCAGAAGTTTGTTTACTTAATGAATTTCTACACCACTCATCTCACCTAAATGACTCAAGTTATAATACTAGTGATAAGCTTCAAATAAGTTGAACCTTAAAATATTATCTTTCTATCCTCACAGGAAGGAAGAGAGAATGGTTTAAAGTTGAGGATGCAATCAAGGTCCTTCAGTGTCATAAGCCTGTACATGCAGAGTATTTGGAAAAATTGAAACTTGGGTGTCCATCCACCAATGGAAATCCTGTAGTTTCTTCCCACCCTGATAATAGTTCTCTGTATGTTACTTCAGCACAAACTTCTGGGCTACCATCTACTACTATAAGATAAATTCTGAGTTACTTTTTCATGTTCTTCCATCACAAGTGGAAATGTATTAGTGATCCTGTGCTGTGTGTATTGTAACCAAAATCTTGAGTCCATGAATACTTTATGTTCAGTCTTTTTTCTTTACTTTTTAGCAATGTATTTTGGCAAATCAAAGCCATACAGGGATTTTTAAAGATGCCTTAAATGGTCCTTTTTCATTTTTAAACATAGTACCTTATTCAAAGAGTGAATTTGAAACTTGACATTTGACTTAATTCAGTTTCTTAAATTTTCTCAAATAATTATATTGCTTTATCCCATTCATCATTGTTTCTCAAGGTCAAAATTAAATTAGTTGGAGGAATTAAGGCATGAAACCAACAAAGTGCCTTCAGTGTTAAGCTTCCTCCTTTAAATTGTTTCATAGAAAAATCAGCATATTAATGCTGTTTTAACTTTTATCTGTTCTTCATATTGCTCATTAAGGATTTTGGTCAAATAGGCAGATATCACAAAATGCCATTTTTTTTTTTCACTTTTGCTACTTATTGCCAAACTTTCTTTGCAGTTTCAGCAGGTTTAATTAATTACGGAGACCATTCCAACTTTTTTCAGTCATTTTATAGATTACATGAATCATAGTATTTGGAAGGGTTAAAGGGGCAAGCAGGTCATATCAAAACATTGAAATGTTTTGATATCTGCCACTAAAGCATGCATGTTTTTACTCTAAACAGTAACAAGTTGTAATTTCATAATTTTTTTTTAAAAGCATCTACACTAAATTTCCATTTTTCTGGAGTTTTGTTTGAGGTAAACAACTACTTCCGTTGTAAAAATTTCTCTTTTCTCATTCTTTATATGTAACATAAATTAACTGTAAATAATTCAACAGATGTAAAGTGTAAAGTGGAAAGTAAATGTAATGTAAATACTATTGTTCACCCATTTGGGTTGCCACCTGTAACTTTCATGTCTTAATAGTGACATAGCAAGCAGGAATTTCAATAGCTCAATTTCTTTAATATATCTTCAGATTTTTCTGTTATTTTATTACACAGCTGTTAAAGGGATAACAGTTATGCCTAACAACAGGTGGGGATTACACACTATGTAATGCTGCTATGAAATAACCACTTACTATTGCAATTTTTTTTTAAATATAACTTTATCTAGTAAGATGAAAATAATGTGCCATATGGATGAATTTAAATAAGGAACATCTGTAAAATATAAGAACAGTTGAGAGTTTTCATTTAAGAAGAATCTAAATAGCAGTAATAGAGGATTGATATGAAGTTCTGCCATAGGTAGAACCTTGAAATTTTAGTAACTTAGGTGATGATGGGAATAATAGGCCACAATCAGTTTCAAATAGCCCCATGTAAAGTCAAAATGAGAATGCAGACTTAATATAAAAATCTTGTGTTAACTGGAATGGGGAAGTGATTAGTTATAAGTAATGTACAATCCTAACCTGGCTGTTCAGACCCACGTTTTTATTTATTATCCAGTAGTTTATTGACCATATGGTTGTAAAAGTGAAAAAATGTCTCACATTATCATAATGATGAACAGAATAGCAAGCCAAATCTGTAATTCTTAACAGCTTCATCTCAACATTTTTGGAATATAATCTAAGCTAATAGAAACCGCCCATTAGTGATGCATGGTTATTTTGCTTTCTGTTGTTACATACTATGTAAAAATGTACAGTTTATGCTAATTAAATCAAAGGTGATTGCTTATAAATACTTCAGGCTGTCATGCCACATAGTTACACTGATGTACAGATCTCTTTAGCCTATGCAATTTAAAATAATTATACCCTCCTCAGTTTTCCGATATCTCTCTTGTAACATGATACACAGGATAAGAAATTTCCATTGTTCAATTTCCTGAATTTACAAGTTCATTGAATAAAGTTAACATTCTTTAAATCTATAATTTGCAGGCTGTGCAGTGCTTTGAAATTGATTTATGAAAAATATATAGTTGCCAGACAAGTGTTCAGCTTACGTTCCAAAGCACCTCTTCTAAACTGAATCCAAAGTAACCCTTAACTGAACTGTACTAATTTGCAGGTATAGGCAGGGCAATAGGTATGTCAGATATAATAGCAAAGACCTCTTGCCAAGATAAAATCTTTTATAACTAATAAAAAGAGTGTGTTTTCTATAAATTGTCAAAGTATTGAAATATTCTTGTAGATCTAAGATGTGGAACAAAACTTGTTCTTTAGTGACATGCATTTAGTCTCCCAGAGAGAGGAATGGAAATTGATTTGGATTTTCATGTACAAAAGTTTGTTATAGAGAACAAGTAGTTGGGAACAGGTCTTATAAGCAGTGTAAGAGCAACAAGAATCAAAAAGTTAAAATCTTGTATTTACTGCAAGCTACCAAATCTATTAAAATGTTTGAAACAATTGTTCAATGTTCTCCTGAAAGTGTACGTACACACAGAGAAAACACTACAAGTTGTAAACTTTTTGAGCTGAGCATGACTTTCTTTTAAAGACTGATGTAAGAATTTTGACTTTTTATATCTGAAAGAAACCTCAAATAAAAAATAAAACACTTTCCAAAGACTGCTGCTCCTTTTTACAAAGTTTAGTGCCATGATTAAGCAGTGCTTCACTAGATCTAAAATCCACAAATACTAAGTTCTAATCAAATTCTCATCTACCGAAAGTGCTTCTCATTGTAAACTTTGCAGAGGGACAGCCAAGTTTGGTCTATGCATACAAAGTATCAGGCGCCTGGTAACCACTTTTTCAATGACTAGCATGTTTTATTAAAAGGCTTAAATTTTCATGAGCTGCAGTTCATCTCACCAAGTGCCCTTAGAACACTGGTTCTCAACCTTTCTAATGCCGCGACCCCATAATACAGTTCCCCATGTTGTGGTGACCCCCAACCACTTATACATCACTGGGTGCCAGGGGCGTGGCCAAAGAAAAGGGAAAAAAATGGCAGACAGCCTTGTTTGGCGACCCCCGTGAAATGGTCGTTCGACCCCAAATGGGGTCCCGACCCACAGGTTGAGAACCACTGCCTTAGAAGGCGTATAACAATAACCTGTGTAGTGTAGTATGTAGAAAATATTCTTTGCTTTCTGTCCTTTAGGAACGATGCCCTGTTGTTTGCACTTGCTTAAAAATATGCCATTTTCTTGTTCAAAGTTGGAAAATTTACTACCAGATTAGATACCCAAACTTTGTTATTGCCATTTTAGCTAAAAAAAAATCCTATACTTCTAGTTATGTACCGCACATTAATATTCTGTATTGCTTACAGAATGTCCAAGGCTTCATATACAGCACTTGCAGTTTGATCAGATAGAGGAAGATTGATCTGGAGAGCTAGGCTGATTAATAATCTACAGCAGACATGTCAAATTCGCGACATCACATGATGTTGCGCAACATTTTGGGACAGTTTTGCCATTGCCGCAATGGGGTGGACGCGGCTTCTGCGTGACGCATCCGGCCCATGGGCCAGCAGTTTGACACCCCTGATCTATAGGGTCAATGAGGTAATGTTTAGAATTTGATTGAAAAGAGGCCTTTTGACAATCTGCATTCAGACAAAAGGGTGCACAGGAGCCTAAAAAAAAAACACTTGCCCTATACCAGCACAAAGGGCGAGACCCATTCAGATTATCTGCCTCATGTTGCTGATTTGTCTCATTGTGAACTTCTAGTATTCATCCACAGTCTTGTCTCCTCACCCCCACCACAAAATGGCAAGAGGAAATAAAGTCAAAATTGCTATGCAAAAATAAGGGAACAGGACAGTAAGTTCAAGCAACAGCAAAGACCATGCAACAATCTCTACAATGACAACTGAATTGGGCAGAGTCTCAGCAACAAACTTAATTTGGTTTCCCTCAACCTCTGGACTTCTAAGGAAAAGAACCAAGTTATTCCAGAACTAGTTATTTTGGTGAATTTGGATTTCCCTTGATTTTTTTACCTTTTCTTTGGAAAGAGACATCTAGAAACTAATAGGATCTGAGTGAAGATGGAGGTGTAGATTAGAAGCATCTCCAACCTTTCACAGAAGTCTCTTTAATGTTGTATCAGTACCACTGGCAAAGAAACAATATCCTCAAGCTGAAAAGGCAGCCACACTTATTACTATGCTACCTCTTTAAGTATTTGCTTCTGAACCGGGAGCCTTTTCCAAATTCTTCACTAATCTGGACTTAAGGAGTAGATGAATCCTGAAAAACTAAGAACTTGCTCTGCGCAGCAAGCTGAATCTCTTTGCGCAAAAACAAAAAAAAAACTGCTGATCATAGACAAACCTAGATCAGTGTCATCTAAGTACTGGAAGTGGTCTTCTTCAGATTCAGGTAGCCAACAGGCCAATAGGCAGCAGAGCAAGCACAACAGCAAACTCAAATATCAAAATCTCAGTGCTCTGGACTTAAGCTTTACTCCAAGAGGTACCACTGGGAGCAAGACACTTGAAAAGGGACTAAAACAGTGGTTCTCAACCTTTCTAATGCCGCGACTCCATAATACAGTTCCCCATGTTGTGGTGACCCCCAACCACTTATACATCACCAGGTGCCAGGGGCATGGCCAAAGAAAAGGGGAAAAAATGGCGGACAGCCTTGTTTGGCGACCCCCGTGAAATGATCGTTCGACCCCAAATGGGGTCCCGACCCACAGGTTGAGAACCACTGGACTAAAACAAGCTAGTCAGCATCTCAAAATTCTTAAACCTCATCCATAGCCAGCATCCAGTTTGTTGCCAAGAGTCAACATGGCTGAAGATGTTAAAAACAGGTTGGAAGTTATGGGTCAAATACTGGGATATGATCAAATTCACAAAACCTTGTATGCAAACAATGTAAAGAAAGCTGGTGATCCCTTGATACTAACAGTGATCAAATGTAGAAATCAAGTCATTGCAGAGTTCAAAAGAAATATAAATCCAGATCAAGGAAGAAATCCTTATCCAGCCTTTGGCACCTTTGTTTCCCCCAGGGAATTAACAAATTAGCTTTCACTGATGCTCCAAACAAACAACCCCAAGACAACCTGTAATTCTAGCCTTAACAATGTAAACTTTAAAAAACAATTTTGATCTACTTTATAGAGTAGATCACCGATTGGTGGATGCAGGTGACAAACGGCCCTAGAGTACTAGAGAAAAAAAAAGCTGTGTATCATTTAGGAATAAAAATGCCAAGGAATGCTATGTAGGCCATCACTACTACACATAGGTAGTACACAACATATGCTATTAGAAAAACTCTTTTTGTGACTTCTTCCTCACAAGATGATTTCAGAGACCTAAACTATATCTGTAGTCTGGATGCACAAAGAAATAAAAACTTTGTCACAAGAATGAAAAAAAAACCATGAAGAATGGCAATAGGACATACTGTAATTGTTGCAAATGAAAATAGATTCACAGCATCTTGTCTTGCCTGCCATCTTCATGTCTTGAATGTGAAAACTGCAGACAGTGCCGTGAGTCTGTCCTCATTCACATCAGCTATAGTAGTTCCTACTACTATACCAGAAGTACATACCTAACAATGCATATATGACTGAAAATTCTGGAGGTAAAGCAGCTGCTATGCTGATGGCTGAAACTTGCCAAATGGCTGAAACTTGCCAACTTACCAAAAATAATCTCCAAAAATAATCTAAAGTACAAATCATGTCATCAATCTATAGAAGAGATTGTTGCAGAGATCATGGCCTCAACATGTTAGCTTGGAAGTTTTTATATACCACAAGCTAATAATGCACAAGGTACTTAGAATATACTTGAAGTATACTCTAAAAACCAGAAAGCTGAATTATTTGGCTTCACATTATTAACTACACAATAAGCATGCTAACACAGAGAAACAAGCCTAGATATCACCATTCTCTTGAGAGCCTGCAACATCAACAACACTAAAATCATAAGACTTTAATGGATTTTTGTAGGGCAGCTATGTGGACTAATTCTTCTAGCTCACGGGTGTCAAACTCACCACATGACATGTCTCGATTTATTGCGACACTATTTGCATTGCCGGCAATGGGGCAATTGCCGGCAATGGGGTGGGCACAGCTTCAGTATGATGAAACTGGCCCGCGGGTCGGCAGTTTGACACCCCAGTTCTTGCTTGTCAGTCACTACCTAGCTTTCATTAACTGCACTGTTTGGCCAGCTTTGTAGCGTGCTATAAAAAATTCTTAGGAATAATAAAGTAATATATCACTCTCATGTCAGCTGCACTTACCAATAATCAAGCTCTTACACTTACTGTGAAGAATTGTCCTGCTGACCAGATTATGGACTCAGGTGGACCACCCAATTAAATAGGAAGGTCCCCAGGTGAAGAAAAAAAAATGTTTATAATTATGTTTATAAGCAAGAATCAATATGCTGACAACTGGAGCAGTAGTAGAGAATTAAGCTTTCACTGAAACATTCTTCTGCCTATTCCCTCAAGAATTCCTAGCCAAGAATATTTGTAGTACTTCTCAGTTCATATTATTTCTGAATAGTCATGTTTCCTTCATGCCTTGAGAATGAAAACTGTTCTAGCTGAGCATTAAAAAACAAACAAGTTATCCCTACAGTTTATCATACATTGCAGCATAGAGTGAAAAAATAGATTGTGATATAAACTTCCTTGTTCTAATTTTTAGGATTAAGATTAATGATTGTCAACTGTAAATATTTTAGAAGCAGTAAAATGAGGTAAGAAAATGGTCCTGTCATCAAGCCATGGACTCCCCTTGTCATATTCATACTCATCTTCAGAATATAAAGTTATTTGAGAACTCAACTCTTCATTTTACAAATAAATCTAATGGAGTTCAAACAACACACAAATCAGCTAAGCATGCTTTGCTCAGCCCTCTTTCCCTATCGTATGATGACCTTGTAAAGGTGACATCCTAAGGTAACAGCCTTCTCACAGAACATGCTGAACCTTAATCCCTTTTCAAACTGAAAGCAAATATGGGCTCCCTGCATCTGAATTATTCAAAACTTTAAATGCTTCAGAGTCCAGTATCTAATCATGGTACCTCCCAAGTTATAATCCTGTTATCTAAAGTGATCTATGTACAAACCTCAGTTTCAAACACAACAAAACTGGTCTGAGTGATAATGACAAATCACACTGGTGTTTCAGCATCAAATCAAATGGTGGCTTCCAACAAATCAAGTGTACTTTATGTTGCCAACCAGAAAATAAGTAAACATAGTCATTAAACATGAATCCCAGTGAATTACTACTATAAACAGATAATGATTCAACTGATTAAAAAGGTGATAGATATTTCTTCCACATATATGTGAAGGAAAAACCCCAGCCTTCTTGGGAGTAAGACTTACCAGAGAATATTTTCAGACTTACTGCTGGATGAGCATAAAGGCTTTAACAGGGAAAGGCAAGGGAAAAAGTGAAAGCAAGCTGATAACAAAGAGAAAACAACCAAAAGGAAGTGTTATATAAAAACTATTAAACTCTACCAACCGTTCATAAAGAGGCCCAGCCTTAAAGTAGCTGATTTCCCTGATGAGCTGAGCCATCTCTTCCAACAGAAATGCCAAGT